TTCGTTCTTTGGAGTTTTCGTTGTTGTTTTATTTTTGGATTTTAGAGATAAGGTCTTATTAAGCACAGTGGCACATGGCTATAATCCCAGCATTCAGGAGATACAGCAGGAGGATTGCTGAGGGTTCAAGGTCAGTTTAGACTACATAGTGAGATTGTCTCAGGAAGAAAGAAAAGAAAAGAAAAAAGAAAGACAGACAAAAGAAGAGACCAGGTCTCACTATGGATAGTCTAGGCTGACCTTGAACTCTCAGCAATCCTCCTGCCTCAGCCTCCTGAGGATTACAGGCATGTACCAACACACCTAGCTCTCAAATTGGAATTTTAATATTGATTGGTTGAGCAGTTAAAGCATCAGAAAGAAGTAGTTCCAGAAACCACATAGCTAGAGTGGCAAAGCCTGGACTTGAAAGTGAGAAACCACTTTGGCCTTTACCCTTTGACATACATCATGGAAAGTAGGGTCCAGGATGGGGATGGAGGGATGGAGAGATTGGTCATGGATGTAGAGATACTGCTCCATACTTAGCACTCTCAAGTCTGCCTTTGCCCTCACCACACACTGAAGTGTTCCAGCAGGCCATTTGATGGGGAGTGGGGGGACCAGTGAGACAGGATCTTGCTACATAGTTCAGGCTGGTTTTTGAACTTATTATGTACACTGAACTGGCATTGAACTTGCGGCAATCCTCCTGCCTCAGCCTCCTGAATGCTGAGATTGTAGGCATGTGCCACCACGCCTGGTTTAGCAGGCCACTGTCTCCAGCTCAGATCCTTTTTTTCTCTATTGACATCTTTTGCTGTCTCTGCACCACCCCCAAAACCTCAGAATCCTCAGATGCTATCTACCCAGACTGACCTCGTCACCTTCCCCCTAACCCTGACCTTCCAGGCCTCCTCATTCTATTGGAAAAACAACACCATGCACCCATCACTCAAACTCAAAGTTCCTGCCCCAGCCAGGATGCCACCCTCTCTCCAGAGTAAGTCCCACAGGTCACCATTCCCTATACCTCTGGAATATCCCTTGCATGTCTTTTACTATCCTACCCTACTGTTTCCACCTGGACCCAGGCCAGCATCAACTAGAAATGTTAATAACCTTGCTGCCCACTCTGCTCCACTCTCAGACCTGAGGGAAATTGGCAAAGCACAGATTTGACCATCGAACCCCCCATCTTAAAGCCCAGGCTCCCCACCACCCTGAGTGATGCTCCTTCCTCAGCCCAGCACCTCATGACTAAGTAGCCCATTCTGAAGTGCACACGTACACAATTCTCCAGTTGTGCTGGGCCTTCACTCCTCTATAGCAAAGGAGGCTGTTTCTCATCCTCCTGGGCCTTAAATCGTGCTGCTGTCCTTGCTCCTTCAATAATTTACCCCCACCTTTATGGGGAGCCCCCAGATAGGCAGTGCTAAAGATCCCTTTTCCACAAAGCCCTTCCTAACCAGCACACATGCAATTTCACACATATACACCAGTGTGCACACAGACATAGCAATACTCATCTATGCACACTCTCAGATTTGGTGACACAGAAGGTGCAGGGCTTGGGGATGTACTTGTTCTGATTGACTGTAAATTCCTGTGGACAGGGGCAGAGGCAGGGGTGGTCTCACCTCTAGCCTCCCCAGGGAGGGTGGATGCACAGCAGGCATTCCACAAATGCTTGCTGAATATCTGGCAAATGAATGAATGATTCGGCTGCAGTCACAGTGTCTCTTTGCAGAAAGCTGGGGAAAAGCTGCATACCAGAGAGCAGCAGCCCATGGGGATGTGGGGTGGGGCAGAGGAAGCCTGGAGTTTTCTGGAATTTCGGAGGCATAACTTCTCTAAGTGGAACAGGCAGTGCCATGTGTGAGAACCCACAGCTCAGCAGGGTTCTCACCACCCTCTGCCTTCTGTTAGATTTTTCCTCAGGCCCAAGTCTGTTCCTCCAAGAATGTGAACTCTGTGTTAGAATTGCCTGTGATTCCTTGTCACACTCCAGCCTCCAGACCAATGCTAGGCAGAGGATGTCCTCTGAGAGCTCCGAGAGATCCGACAGCAGAGCCAAACTGATGATGACTCAGGTGGCTGAGCTGAAGCTCAGACTCAGCCCTTCCTAAACAGATGGCCATGGAAAGTTTTGGCCTTCTCTGAGCCTGAGGTGTCTCCTCTGTGAAGACAGTTTTGGCTATGTGTCTCCTGGTCCAGCTCACCAACTGTTGGGGAAGGACCTAAGAGGTTTTCAGCACTCTAAAGTCCCTGGGCAGGGGGAAGGGCCATCTGTGCCTGGTCTGCAGCCCCATCTGTGCCTGGTCTGTCTGGCCACAGACAAGGACATTAGGCAGTAATCAGTATTCAGGGAAGTTAAGTGGGAAGCCACAGGGTACAGCCTATAGGGGGCATTAGAGATATTTTCCAAATGTGTGGAGAGCATAGCATCCCAAGTAGAAAAGAGCTAGGAGAAAAGGCAGAGCTCACAGGGTAGAGACCATGTCCAAGGTACTGCAGGCAGGCTGGTATACTGGAAGCCAGAATGGCACAGGCTGGGGACAGAATAGATGAAAGATAAAGAACTGAGATCATTGAGGGTGAGATCTTACATCTACACTTATCCTGAGGGCAAGAGGAAACCACTGAAGCCTTGTAAGCAGGAGATTTATATGATGTGATTAATGATTTAAAAGATCACTTTGCAGCTAGCCTTAGTGGCAGCTGCCTGTAATCCCAGTACTCTGGGAGGCTGAGGTAGGAGAATCACAAATTCAAGCTCAGTCTGGGCAGTTTAGTGACCTTAGGGAGACTGTCAAAATTTTTTAAAAAAATTTTTTGAGACAGGGTCTCGTTTTGCAGTGTAGGATGGGCTTGAACTTACTGTGCACCCCAGGCTGGCTTCAGACTCATGATGATCCTCCTGCCTCAGCCTTCAGAGTGCTGGGCTTACAGCTACCTACCACCATACCTGGCTTGTATTTTGAGACAAGATCTAGCTGTGTATTTCAGGCTGGCCTTGAACTTACTATGTAGCACAGGTTGGCCTTGAATTTGTATTAAATCGTCCTACCTCAGCCTTCCACATGCTGGGATAACAAGCATGAGCACCATGCCTGGTTTCAAAATAAAATTTTATTTTATTTTTCAAAATAAGATAAAATTTAAAAAGGAAGGTAGTAACTCTTCCTTTTAAAGTGTGAGATCCTGTGTTTAATCCTTAGTTCTATGTGTGTGTGTGAGAGAGAGAGAGAGAGCAAGAACAGAAGGGAAAAGACAGAAGAGAAGAGAAGAGAAGAGAAGAGAAGAGAAGAGAAGAGAAGAGAAGAAAAGAGAAGGTGAGGATTTAGCAAGGTGTGGTGCAAGAATGCCAGCTACTCAGGAAACAGGCCAAAAGACTTTCAGTGCGTGGAGCCAGATGTGGTGGAACATGTCTGTAATCTCAGCACTCAGGAGGCTGAGGTAGGAGCATTACTATGAATTTGAGGCCAGCCTGAACTATATAGGGAGATCCTTCCCCAATCCTCCCTCTGAAAAAACACATATTAAGGAGACAGAATCAAGAAGAATGGGCATAATCCCAGTACTCAGGGAAGCTGAGGCAAGATCACAAATTTGAGCCTATTCTAGGCAATTTGGCAAGACTATGTCTCAAAATTAATAAGAGGCCAGGTATGGTGCCGCACATCTGTAGTAATCCCAGCACTGGAGAGGTTGAGGCAGGAGGATCTCAATTCAAGTGTGAGGCCAGCCTGAATTGCATAGTGAAATCCTGTCTCAAAAAGAAAAAAAAATTAACAACAACAATAAATGTTTAAAGTGTTGGGCAGTGTAGCTCAGGATGAGAACGCTGGTTCAATCCCCAATACTGAAGCAAAAAAAAAAAAAAAAAAAGTGGGATAGGAGAGGATATTCAGGGACCTCTTAAAATTCCTCAAACTACCCCTGGGTATGCCTGACCCATTTCTAAATATGAGGGGTTCCAGGAGGGGGAGGCCAAAGGGTGAGGGTTCAGGGTACTCAGGGATGGAGGTGGCCAGCACTGTCTGATATTAATGGGAAAGTTGGGGAGTGGCACTAGCTCTTTGGTGCAGTGTGGTCAGCTGTCAACTCCACCTAAACCCACTCCTGGGGAAGGCCAGCATACCAGCCTCAGTTTTGGAAAAACAAGGCTATGGCCCTATAGTAAACATGTGCTCCAAATCTGCATCCCCAGATCCTGCTAGCATCCCCATCTATTTCCCAGGAGCAAAGACTGAGAACCCTCAGGATCCAGTACCAAGTGTGTGGTGAACGCACTGCCTAGCTGTGAGCCCAGGCTTTAACAGCCAGGGAAAGGCAGAAGTGGTAGTCTGACCCTATATGGGGAGACGGGCTGGCTGAAAAGACAGAGAAACGAGTAGCAGAGTCTGGGCCAAGTGTCAGACGGCTAGACTTCTAGCCAGTGGACTTCTCGAACCCTGATCTTTTTCGACAGCTAACCCAACAGATCCAGGATTTGTTCTGGTGGTCATAGATAAGCAGCCTGAAAGGTCTCCAGGGCCGTAAGGTTGTAGGAAGAGGAAAAACAAGAGGGGCTCCTTAGCACTGCCACCCAACCCTACTCCGATTTTAAGGTTTGCGCGCGGTTCCTAGAAATCCCGCGGTATTCCTGCGGTCGTCTCCCACACCTCCCCTCCCTGCAAAGTGGTGGATGACTCGGCGGGCTGTTGCCTGCCCCGACACCCGAGAGGGCGGAGCAAGTCGTGGGCGCCTCCCGGGGTGCGGGAGCCTGGGGAGTGCAGGGGGTGGGGCCCAGCGGGCCCGGGGAGGGGCGAGGCGGCGGGGCGGCGGGGCGACGGGGCGGCGGGGCGGCGGGAGGGGCCCGCACCGGCGCCGGCGGCGGCGACAGTGGCAGCTGCAGCGTGACCGGGCCTGGCTGCACCGAGATCCCCGAGAGCGCGACGTCCTTTCAGCCAGCGCAGCCATGTGAGTGTCCGCGCGTTTCCGGGGGCCGCGGCCCGGGTAGGGGTCGGGCGCGGCGGTTCCGGTGCCTCCTGGATCGGCGCCGCCCGGTGGGCCCAGGAGCCGCGGCCGAGTCCCAACTCACCCAGTTCCCTGGACCCCGGCGGCGCCGCGTCTTTCCTCCCTTGCCCTCGGGGCACAGAGGACGCAGCTTCGCCCAAAAAAACCGCCGCCCGAGGGCCTGCCGCGCCTGCCAGGCGCTGCCTCCCTCCCACCGCTGGGCCTCGGCGGCGGGTGCTCGGGGGTCGGGTGGGCCAGGCCTGGGCCTCAGACGGACCCCCACGCCGCGGAAGGGTCTGACCTGGGAAGGCGGAGGGGGCGACCTAGCGTGCAGGCAGCCGCTGAGATGAGCTCATCTTGCTGGCCCAGCGGCCTAGCTAAGCCGCTTTGGGGACGAGGTGAGGTGACTGAGATGTCCAGGGATCATGCTCTGCGCCCAGCAGGAGAAGATCGTCCTGGCGCAGTTGGGGGACGGAGCCTGGTCCTACAAACGGGAGCTGTTGTTGAGGCTCTGCAAACAGCCAGGCTGGGCACCCTGCATAACTGGTTTGGGGAAGGGGCTACTCATCAGGGGAAGAGGCCTGGCCATGTCAGCCTCCGCACCCGCTAGCCTCCCTTCCCAAGTGAAGCCCCAGTGGCTTCTCATATTGACCCTTTAAGTCAGTTCTGATGGGTGCCCAGGCTAGCTCCTGAGCACCCACTGTGTGCAGTCTAATATAACTATAACGGTGTTCAGGCCATATTCTGTGGGGCTGCACTCTGGGCTTGCTGCATTTTAGGAAGGTTATGACCATCTGGCAGATAACAGAAAGAGGTTCAGAGAGATTTGTAACATTTTCAAGGTCACACTGCTGGTTTAGGGAGAAGAGGATTGAGATTGAAAGCCTTACTCCCGTACCATCCACTTCTATAGTGTTGACAGTGGCAGGGATGGTGGTGAGGACGTGCAATAATTGAAACTAAGGTACGGTATACTCCAGCAGGACAAAGACGACTGGCACAGCTCCCTTTTCCACCTCTGCCCTTTCTGGGTCCTGGGAGCAGCAGCTGGGGAGGAGCAGAATGAGCCGTTCCAGGGACCAGGGCTTGGGTGGGAGTGCGGGCGGATGCCAGGCTGAGTTCTGCCTGCGTGGAAAAGACTGCGAGGAGGGTGCGGGTGAGTCACCGCTGTCCCGCTCCTTCGCCACCGCTCAGACTCGAGCCCAAGCCAGGCCGACCGTGCGGCGGGACAGGGAATGTGACCAGCTGACCAGGGAGGAGGCCGACAGGAAGTGAGGCCACCCGGCTGCCTCCGCCCGGTTCCGGGGTGGGGGGTCCCAGGCCGCGCAGCCCCCTCTTCCTCCTTCCCTGGCCGCTTCGGTTGGCAGCTGCGGGATGACGTCAGCAGCCAGGTTTGGGACAGTTGCTATGGAGACAGGGGCAGGCTGAGGAACGACCCTCTCCTTGCTGCCGCCCCTTCCTGGGTTATTTTTAGCGTCTGTTTACCTCGGTCAGGGGTGGCCCAAAGGTTGGGCGGGACTGGAGGAGGGGGACTCCGGAGAGGCGACTGGCCTGGCATGTTCCCAGTGAGCCAGGGCGGGCAAGTGGCTGCAGTTTCTGCCCCCACACTAGTGTGCCAGTCTTGGTTCATGGGGAGTATTAGGGTCTAGAAACTGAGGTCATGCAGGTGTGAGCTGGCTTCTGCAAGCCCCCTAACCTTTAGAACCTGGGACTTAGATTCTTTGCCATGTCAACAGACTGCTGGGGTGCTTACTTCAGCAGCACATGTACTAAAAACCTACTGTAGGGATGCCATGTGCTTAGAGACCCCTGCCTCTTATCAGCCAGTCACAGCTGGGTGTGGTGGCCCAGGCCAGTAATTCTAGCACTGGAGTGCTAGAAAAGAGTGGAAAGATCCAGCCCAACTTTGGCAATTTAGCAACTTAGTAAGACCCTGCCTCAAAATAAAAACAAAGGGCTGTGGATATAGTTCAGTGAGAATTTCCTATATTGAAAAAAATAAAAAGAAAAACAGCCCCCACTGGCTGATGTGGCTCCTCTTCCTTAGTTGAGATTCAGCCCTTTCCATTCACTCCCAGCAGGGTAGATCCTGTCTATCTACCTCCAACCAACAGTTACACATACTGGTTCCTGTGGGACTAGGAGGTACGTGGTGGCAGCAGCGTCACAGCCAAAGAAAGAAAATCGATGGGGTGATTCACATACTCTTGAGTCCAGAAACACAGGGCACCTCCATCCTGTCCCATCTCTAGGAATCAGAATCTCACTTGCTGATATATTATATAATTAGCAAGTGGGGAAAAGGAGAATCATAGATTGGGTAGGGAGGGTAGCCAGGGTGGACACAGACTTGAAATCTACCCCAGCTTCCCCACTCAGCTCCCTCCCCCTTTCATCTAGGGGCTCAGGCCCAGGTGGAAGGCCAGGTAGCTGTAAACCAAGCAGACAGGCCCCAGTCCCCACACAGTTCAGTCTGGTGGGAACACAGATCCTAAAGGAGAACTCACAACTGAGTTACGTGTCTTTGGGGATCAGTGGGAGGAAGCTACAAGAGGCACCAAAACGGGGAGCCAATTCAGAGCAGGCTTCCTTCTGGAGGAAGTTAGAAGGTCAAACTTGAAGGACAGGGGATTGGTTACACCAAGAACAGAGGCAAGAGGGTATAGGAACAATGAGGGATGCTGAAGAACGCAGTTAGGTGTGAGAGGGTATTGCAGTTGTTAGAAATGAAAGGGAAGGGGTAGGCCAAGAAGAGCCCTGTGGGCCACATGATAGTCTGGGCTTTACCTTGGGGAGAGGGTAGCTGTGAATGTTCCACAAAGGTCTGAATAAGAGGGATACTAGAGATTTACAGTCCTGGGCTGGAGATGTAGCTCAATGGTAGAGTGCTAATCTAGCATATGCAGAGCCCTGGATTGAATCCCCTATGCCAATAATTAATAAATAGATAAATGCTGTGGTTTAAAAAAGAAGAGATTTACAGTCCTGTTGGGTCTAGTGGTGCATGCCTGTAATCCCAGCACTCAAGAGGCTGAGGCAAGAAGACCTTTGAAAGTTAGAAGCCAGCCTGAACTACATAGTCAGACCTGAATCAAAAAGAAAAAAGATTTATAGTCTTTAGTGAGAGACCCTGACTTTGAATCCTGGCTCTGCCACTTATCAGTTGTGTAACCTCAGGCTAATTAATAACAGTAGTAATAATAATAATTATTATCTGTTGTGCTAATAGTGAGGTAGTATGTACCCCAACTTCCCTAACCCACACACAATTCTTTCATTCTTAAGCACCCTTCATAGAACAAGGTCTCACATACACACACACACACACACACACACACATATTTTTCTTGTTTTTATTTTTGTTGTTGTTTTGGGACCGAGGACCTTACACTTGCCAGGCAGGTACTTATGCTACAGAGCTAAAAGCTAAATCCCCCCCCCACACACACACACACTTTTTGATACAGGGTCTCACTATAGGTTGGCTTTGAGCTCACTGTGTAGTTCAGGCTGGCCTTGAACTCTCAGCAATTGTCCTGCCTTGACCTCTGAGGTTTTTTTTGTTTTTTTTTGTTTTTTTTTTTTTGATTTTTCCTTTTTATTGGTACCGGGGATCGAACTCATGACTGCCTGCTTGCAAGGCAGGCGCTTATGCCGCTGAGCTAAATCCCCAGCCCCCCTGCCTTGACCTCTGAGTGGTGGGATTATAGGTATGCACCACCATGCCTGACTTATCCTCATCTTACGGGTATCTGAAGCCCAAAAGTTTAAGAAGTTATCTTGTCCAAGGTCATATAGCCTGTTAGCCTCAAATTCTTGGTTGTGAAGCAGAGCTAACTGTATTTAAACTTACAAGATTGTTGCTGGAATTAAATGAAATGGTGTCAAAAATACCATGTTTATTTTACCACTTTAAAAAATGAAATGGTGTCAAGTACAGTAGGCACAAAAAAAAAAAAAAAAAAAAAAAAAAAAAAAACAGCATTTTTTTTTTAAGCACAGCATTTTGGCCTTGTCAGGTTAACTAGAATTTCCAGATGAAAGTGTTGTTACTGAGTAAAGAATGGATCATTGCAGGTGGGAAGGAAGATAAAGAGCCTATTTTATTAGGATGCTGTTGTAAAGTTCTAGAGGAGAAAAGGTCATGGACCCAAATTCTAACTATAGGGATAGAGGTGAAGGAGCAAATTCCAGGTACATTTGAAAGCTGACCTGGGAGGAATGATTAACTAGTTGGATGTGAGGGGAAACTGACCAAGATGCCCAGGAGGACTCTTGAACAATTAGGCACACAGGTAGTGAGGCTGCTGTGGACAGGTTAAGAGTAGGGAGAGAGGGGCTGGGAATTTAGCTCAGCGGCATAAGCGCCTGCCTTGCAAGCAGGCAGTCGTAAGTTCGATCCCCAGTACCGATAAGGAAAAAGACAAAAAAAAAAAAAAAAAAAGAGTAGGGAGAGAGCTGAGTATTATGGCACATGCCTATAATCCCAGCACTCTTGAAGGCTGAAGCAGGAGGATCAAAATTTGGAGCCTTGGGAAATTTAAAGACTTAGTACAACCCTGTACTAATACAAATTAAAAAGGGGAGTGCTGGAAATGTAATTTTGTAATTCAGTGCAAAGGCCCTGAGTCCAACCCTTATACCGAAGTGGATGAAGACTATGGAGAAAAGTGGTTTGAGGAGAAAAGTGGTAAATTCACTTTGGGGACTTTGAACCAGCCATCCTCTTACAGCTCGCTGTGCACTGTCAGCTTGTAGGGAGACATCTAGCAAGCAGTTGGATAAGCAGCCTAGTGCTCACAAGAGTGGTTTGGGTGAGGGACAGGTAAGGAAGCTGGTAGCATTCAGATGGCATTGAGCTAAAGCAGGAAGACTGCAGCCCAGCTAGGGATAAGGAAAGGGACAGAGCACCTGCAGGAAAAGACAATGTGCCCTTGGAGAGATAAGTGGAAAACCAAGAGTATGCTGCGTCTTGAAACTCAAGGGAAGGAAAGGCTTTGGGAAGAGGAATGGAGCCACCAAAAAAGCTTTACTGAGTGCTGGGTGTGGTGGTGCACTCCTATAATCCTAGCACTCTGGAGGCTGAGGCAAGAGGATCACCATGAGCTACATAATGAACTCAAGGCCAGCCTGAACTTCATAATGAGATCCTGTCTTTAAAAAACAAATATCTAACCTTTACTGAGATCAAGCAGGATAAGGACTAAACATTTGATTTGGGGTTGATTCAGCAGCAGAGAGGTCTCTGGTGACCACAGGGGTATGCTAAATGCAAAAGGCTGACCAAAATGGGAAAAGGAGTAGATGGGTGTGGTGAAGAAATTGGAGGTAGACCACTCTTCCAGAAATTTGGCTCAGAAGGGCGTGGAGAATAGTGGGTGTGGCACAATGCCTGTAATTCCAGTTGTCTGTAATCCTAGTGCTCTGCAGGCAGAGGCAGGAGGATCACTGTAAGTTCATGGCCAGCCTGAACTACATAGTAAAATCCTGTTGAAAGAAAGAAAGAGGAAAGGAAAGAATGAATGTGGTAGGTAGGACAAAGTACAGGGCCCACAGTGGGGTTTTTTTTGTTGTTGTTGTTCTTCATCTTTTTTTTTTTTGGTAATTACTTATTTACTGTATATGTGTTGCTACGAATCAAACCCAAAGACCTGAAACATGGTAAGTACACATTTTGCCACTGAGTTATACCCCCAATAGTAGTAATTTATTTAAACCCAACTGTATATTGAAATATGTACAGAAAATAGCCACCTACAGTGATGCATGCTTGTCCCATGCTAGCTACTCAGGAGGCTGAGGCAGGAAATTTCTTGGAGTCTAGGAGTTCAAGACCATCCTGGGTAATACAGTGAGACTCCATCTTTAAAAAAATGTATACATGCAATACACACATCAAATCCATAAAGTGTTTATCTACTAAGTGTACAGCTTGATCACATTTTTTGCAACAGAACACACCCATGCAGGATCAGGAAACAGAACCCAGAGTCGGAAAAGGAACATTGTCAGCACTTTGGAAGACCCTTTGTGCCCACTTCTAGTTACAAAAGCCCAAAGGGAACTACTAGTCTGACTTGTGTGGCCATAGATTACTTTTGCCTACATTTGAGCTTCATTATCAAGGCAGTCATATCCATGCTGTCTTTTGCTTCTTTCACTCAACATTATGTCTATTGTCACGTCATATATTTTTCATTCTTTTTTTGCTATATAATTTGTTATTTATTGATGGGCATTTTTGTTTGTTTGTTTTGTTTTTTTTTAATTGGTACCAGGGATCGAACTCAGGACAGTGTGCTTGCAAGGCAGGCACTTATGCCACTGAGCTAAATCCCCAGCCCTATTGATGGGCATTTGGATAGTTTCCAGGTTGTTTTCATGTTTTATGTGACAGTAGCTTGAGTTTGTTGGTGATTTGTGGACCAAATCTGAAACACATCTTCTGTGGGAAGGGTGCGGGGATGGGGTCATACAGAAGGATTTATCAGGTGGAAAGTAAGAGCCTGGCTGAGGTTGAGAATTGTTCTGTGGTTCCAACCATGCTGCTGTGCCAAGACCCTTGGCTACCGGCTGTGTGCAGGTGCAGTGAAGACACAGAGTTGGGTTGCAGGATTGGTTTCTGCCAGGTAGCAGAGGCATGAAAGCTGAAGAAACTAGTAGCAAACAAGTGATGATGGAGAAGTGCTGTAGATGCAGGCTGGGAGGATATGCAAGGAAGATAGGGAAGAGAAGGTAGGACAAAGCTGGCAGAGAGGAAGAAAGCAGAATTGGACTGTGAGCTCGGTACAGGGTGGTGTCTGAAATTATGGGCAGTATTTCCAGTGACTGGCACATGCTTGGCACAGGTTGTCATCAGTGAATAGTTGAATAAGACAACTTGATGACTGCTAGAGACCAGAAGTCTCAGGTAAAAAGGTAAGGAGGTGGAGTGCTGGAAAGAGCCAAGAGGTTGTACACAGTGTCATGACTTAGCAAAGGGGCAATCCACGACAGGTGGTCAGGCTATGGTGTCCCTTGTGGAGATGGCTAACAGAAGCAGAGAGGCTGTTGTTGGATGTCAATCCAATGGAAATGTATGGATCACCAATGCATACATGGTACTCAGTCTTTAAGGAGGATAGCACTTCTAAAACTGGGCTCCTTCAGCCTCTTGTAGCTAAATCTGCAGAGGAGTTGGCGGTTTTATTGCAAATGCAGACCCTTAGTCCCTCCTGGGTTTGTAGAGAAAGAATGCAGTGTGGCAAAACTAGTCTTCAAGAGGCAAGATTATTTATGAGGTGGGGGGAGCATCCAGCCCTTCCAGGGTCAGAGGATGGGGTGTCTCAGTCAACCCTGCATGCTGGGGGTGGAGAAAGGATATTCAAGAAAGAGATATAGGAGGTGGAAAAGAGCCAAAGAAATTCAAGGCCTGAGTAGCCCATGTGAGCTGTGGGGCTAGAAGAATGGGAATCTCAGCCCTGGGATGCAGCTTCCACTAGAGGAGGCCCTGGCTAGGCAGTGGGACCTGATTATTTCCCCTGGGCCTGGGAGGAGAGGGAGTGTCCAGCACTCCTCTTGTAGGTGTAAGAGTGGGAGGGGTCCAAGCACCCCTCTTGTAGGTGTAAGAGTGGGCTGGTGCAAAGGACTGTGGGATTCTCTGCACCACTTCCATCTTTGCATCTTTCTTGGGACAGCAACTCATATGAAGTTGACCTGGTCTCACATTTTCAGCTCCTCTCATTCTTAGCTTCCCAGACCCCTCGTGCTGAGCACCTACTCTTGGCTCTCTTTTGATACAATTCCAACACTTGGAATCCCCAGGCCCTACTCTCCAAACTTTGTGCACTTAGAACCCCAACTCTAAGCCCTCTGTATGTTCAGACTTCTCTCAGGACCCCTCAACAGCCAGCCACTCTTAAGAGTTTGCTGCATTCTGTGCCCTCCTACACCGTTATTCTATCCATCTCTGTATTTATCATGACTCTATTTTCCGCTGGACGTCTCCCAGAGGGGAACCACTCTGGCCTCCATTTGGGAGGCCAAATGGGTCCAAGCCTGTGCCCCCCTAGTCCAGCCTGTCCCGCCCATCCCGGCGGGCTGAGTCAGGAGGCAGGAACTGGGCGGGGGGAGGCGCCAAGCGGAGCCAAAGCCCAAGCCAAAGTTGCTGGACACTAGCGCGGAGCCCAGCAGGCCAGCACCAAGTGGCCCTGGGCCGGCAGGGGCGCGGGGCACAGAGAAAGCACAGGTTGAGGCCATCCGGGGACCTACCATGGACGTGAAAAAGAGAGGTAAGACCTGGCCAGGGGCTGCGAAGGCTCCGAGGCGAATCATAGGGGTTCAGGCCGGATTCTGGGGGCCAGGGATGAGTGCGTGTTTCACCAGGTCGGGTCGGAGATCTGCCGAGAATTCCTACCCACCTAGGGCTAGAGGTGAGGGCGCGTATCTGTGACTCAGTTTCCAGGTCCGATCCTCGGGAAGGTGGAGGGGGCGGAGCACTTCCCGTCACTGCACCCCACCCTGGGAATCCCCGAAGCCCAGTCTGGAGGGCTTTGGCGTCTTGGCGCCTGGGGGCCTGTGAGAATCCAGTGAACTGTTAAGCCGGAGGCGGGGTGAGGGTCCCGGGAACACAGTCTGGGCAGGCAGGGCGGGTCCTGCAGCATTGCGGGGCTCAGAGCGCGCTCCGCCCTGTCCCGCTCGGTGACCTCTCGCGGCCTCCTGGGGTGGGGGACCCTGGCTGCTAGTCCTCTTAGGGGGGCGGTCTGGGAAGGCCGCCCCGCCCCCGGGTAAACAAGCGCTTCCGCACATTCTTCGCGCGCCCCGCCCCTTTCCTGCCCCTTCCCAGCCAGGGGAGGGTCCCCGCGCGACCCCCCCTTCCTGTCCCGCAGCAGGCGGAGCCCGCACCTCGGCAGGAAGTAGGGGCTGAGCCGAGGCCACGCTGAGTCGGAGGCCGAGTCACCCGCGGCTTCCCTGTCATTAACAGTGGGGCCAGTAGGCCTGAGAGTATCTAGACCCGAGCCCACTGGGACTTCTGTACGTGGTGACTAGGAAGGACAAGCTCCAGCCCTGGAACGCGGGTTTGGGGAGGGAACTTAAGCGACCCAACCGGTGCTGCACACTCCCTTCTCTCCCACCTCCAGGGAGCCCCGCGCGGACTCATTCTATGATGTCCTTGTCGGTGAGGCCGCAGCGCCGCCTGCTCAGTGCCCGGGTCAGTAGGAGCCAGTCTTTCGCAGGCGTCATCTGCAGCCACAAGCGAGTACCCAGGTACGCAGTAGACGGGTGGAGGTGGTAGTTCATGGTGTCAAGGGATGAGGTCGGGATTGGGTGTGTAGAGAGGTTATGGGGAGTTTCTGTTCATTCCTTTCTGAGGAGCACCTTCTTCTTAAGGAGCTTCCTGGTCTTCAGCCCGCCGCCGCCAGGGCCCCCACGGAAGGCCCCAGCGCTCTCTCGAGTATCCAGGATGTTTGCTGTGGCCCACCCATCCCCAAAGGTGCCGCAGCCAGAGCGGCTGGATCTGGTGTATGCGGCACTTAAGCGGGGCCTGACGTAAGTAAGCAACTTTCTGCTCACTGCTTGACCTAGGATCCCTACTCAATCCCCTCATCTCTGCTAGTAGGGACCTGCCCCAGTCAGGCACCTCCTGTTTGCTGTTGGTACTGTGGGTATTGGAGTGCGAAAGGTAAACTGAACTGCGTGTCACACCTGTAATCCCAGAGACTGATACAGGTGGATCTCTGTGAGTTCAAGGTCAGCCTGGGCTGTATAGTGAGTTCAAAGCCAGCCTGAACTGAATAGCAAGACCCTGTCTCCAAAACAAAACAAAACAAACAAAGGGTAAACTGATTTTGTCACCTCTTTTTCCCAGAGCCTACTTGGAAGTGCACCAACAAGAGCAAGAGAAGCTCCAGGGGCAGATAAAAGAGTCTAAGAGGAATTCTCGGCTGGTGAGTGATGTTAGGGATGCCCTGGTCTAATGCCCTGTGTGTGTGGTGTGGGGGCTGGACAGAGCCATCCTTGTGTGAAATCTGGGCTATTTTCTGGGATGACGGAGTCCAAGTATGAGTACAAAAGGGAGTATTAGGAAAGGCCGCGAGGATTTATAGCCCCAAGTTTTTTACTGTGCATTTTCTGCTTAGAGTCCAGTTTCTGCTCACAAGAGCTTCCAATGGTAGAGGTCAGACCCCCCCACCATATGACAGCAGGAGAGTAAATTGTAATGGTACTAAAGAGAAGGCCAGGGTCACTTGGGGAAGTGATCAGGGCTTGCCAAAAGAAGGAACTGAACAGTTGTGCTGGATGTGGAAGTTGTGTGGGTGTGCAAGGGTCCTTCTCATACTTCCTAGGTAGCACATCTCATCTCTCATCTCTTTCGTAGGGCTTCCTGTATGACTTGGATAAGGTGAGTGTATATACAACGGTATTGGAAGGGGTTGGTTTGTGGGAAGGGGAAAGGGCCTTGGGCCTCAGACCCCTCCTGACTCACCTCTCCCCCAGCAAGTCAAGTCCATTGAACGCTTCCTACGACGATTGGAATTCCATGCCAGTAAGGTACTTTGTGCAGCATGCATACAGAGGGATGGTGATGGGATAACATAAGGAGAATGGGGTGGGAGGTATTTGCTAGGCCCTGAAGGAGGACCTCCAGTGGTGAGCTGTATTTCCCTTACTCACCTTCCCAGATCGATGAGTTGTATGAAGCATACTGTGTCCAGCGGCGTCTCCGGGATGGTGCCTACAATATGGTTCGTGCTTATAGTACAGGGTCTCAGGGGAGCCGAGAGGCGAGGGACAGCCTAGCCGAAGCCACTCGGAGTCATCGAGAATACACAGAGGTAAGGGAGGAATACTATTGACAGAAATACAGAGACAGACTGACAAGAGCAGGATTTTACAGCATTCTCTTCTATTCCTGCTTTTCCCTCCCAGAGCATGTGTCTTTTGGAGAGCGAGCTGGAGGCACAGCTGGGCGAGTTTCATCTCCGGATGAAAGGTACTGGGTTGTGGGGGGCAGGTAGGAGGCAGGAGGAAATGTGCTCAGGACCTGCCAACATGGCTCATCTATTTCTCCCCCTACTCCAGGGCTGGCTGGCTTTGCCAGGCTGTGTGTGGGTGATCAGTATGAGGTAGGACGCTGTGCAAAGGAGGGCTGGGATGGAACTGTCAAAAGTCCTAGAGTTGCCTCATCCTATCTTATTTCCCTAGATCTGCATGAAATATGGCCGTCAGCGCTGGAAGCTACGGGGCCGCATTGAGAGTAGTGGAAAGCAAGTGTGGGACAGTGAAGAAACTGTCTTTCTTCCTCTGCTCATGGAATTCCTGTCCATCAAGGTAATTCCTCTGCCCAGATCCACCAGACACCTTAGTCCTGTGGACGCTATAACCTTGTGAACCCATTATGACTCTCTTTGACTGAGATCCTTACTCTTGTGACCATGACCTTTATGACCCTGGATTTTGTCATGATTTTTTTTTTTTTTTGGTCTTTTTCCTTTTTTTCGGTACCAGGGATAGAACTTACGACTGCCTGCTTGCAAGGCAGGTGCTTATGCTGCTTAGCTAAATCCCCAGCCCCTTCTCCATGATCTTTTGACCTGGTGAATGTTTGATCCTCTGAGCTCCTATAAGGCTATGGACCCCGGAGATCAATGGCCCTACCAATATGGACTTTGCTCTCAAACTGCTTCAAGGTTCTGTGGCCCCACAATTCTCAGAACTCACATCCTTATGACCTTCCAGTAGCCCTTTAACCCTATGATCATCTTACAACTTCTATGCAAATTCAGACCTATGGTCACCCAGGAGCTCATGGCCCTTGTACTCATGTGACATTATTGTATACTTTTGGCTTTAGGTGACAGAACTGAAGGGTCTGGCCAACCATGTAGTTGTGGGCAGTGTCTCCTGTGAGACCAAGGACTTGTTCACCGCTCTGCCTCAGGTTGTAGCTGTGGATATCAATGACCTTGGCACCATCAAACTCAGTCTGGAAGTTACATGGAGGTTGGTATAGCTTAAGGATGCAGGAGTTGGGGCAGGGGCAGGAAGGTTGTGGCATTGCTAACAGGTGTTCTATTCCCTCCCCAGCCCCTTTGATAAAGATGACCAACCCTCAGCCACTTCTACTGTCAACAAAGCCTCCACTGTCACTAAACGCTTCTCCACTTATAGCCAGAGCCCACCAGACACACCCTCACTTCGGGAGCAGGCCTTCTATGTGAGTCACAGCCCAGACCCAAGCCTCATTACTCCCAGAGGATTTTTAGGGATGGTCCTAAAATCTACTTTTCTTTCTCTCTCAGAACATGCTAAGGCGACAGGAGGAGCTAGAGAATGGGACAGCATGGTCCCTGTCATCCGAATCTTCAGATGACTCATCCAGCCCACAGCTATCGGGGTCTGCCCGACATTCATCAACCCCCAGACCTCTAGTGCAACAGACTGAGCCCCTGCCCATCCAAGTTGCCTTCCGAAGGACTGAGACTCCTAATGCTAAGCCCATGGATAAGGAGGGGGCCACAGGCCCAGCACTGGCCAATGGGCATGCTCCCTACAGCCGAACTCTGAGCCACATTAGTGAGGCTAGTGTGGATGCTGCCCTGGCTGAGGCTTCAGTGGAGGCTATGAGCTCAGAAACCCTAGCCCGGGATTGTAATCCACCTACGCACCCAGATCCCACCCATGGGGAGCACACTAGTCAAGTTCCCCTTACCCTCAACATGGGCTGTTCTGCCACAAGCCCCACCTTCAGGACATCCAGTCCTGCTCTCACATCCATAGATCCTGTCCCATCTGTACATCTGGACTCAGTTTGTAAGGCCATAGATTCTAGCCCTTCTGAGCTGCCAAGCCCCACCTACACTGCCACAAGCTCTACCTGTGGTGCCATAAGTCCTATGAACAATGCTCCGAACCCTACTTCCACAACTGCAGGTTCTATCCATAAGCCCATACCCTCTACCCTCACCACTACAGGCCCTCACCCTAGTAGTACAGGCCCAGCGCAGACCACCACTATTCCTACCCACACTACTCTAAGCCCCATTCATACCACTATCAGCCCCACCCATACTGCACCAAGTGCCAACCACATTATTGCAAGTTCTACTCACTCTACCACCATCTCCACCCACCCAACTATCCCAAGCCCCATCTTCACTCACCCTACCACCCCAATTCCCAACTCTACCTCCCCTACTACTTCAAGCTCCAGTTGTACCCACACTACTACTCCAAGCCCCAGTCCCACCCACTCTATCCCAAGCTCTATCCACCCAACCCCCACCCAGCCTACCCCAAACTCTACCCACCCTACCCCAACCCCCACCCACCCCACCTCAGGCCACACACACACCACTACAAGCTCTATGCAAAACACAAGTCCTGTCTATACTACTTCAAGCCTCATTCCTGCTACCACAAACCTTACCCACAAAACAAAGGTATCGGCTCACACCACTACAATTCCTACCCCAAATGCTATGGCCTCAATTCAGACCACTACAAGCTCCACCCTTACAACTGTAAGCCTTTTGTCTTCTCAAGACCTTGCCATAGTCTCCAGCCCCTCTGCAGCCCCCACCCTCCCAGGCACAGACCTCTTGCCCTGTAGCCAGCCAGCCTCCACTTCCTATACTCAGGAAGACCCCACAACCCCCAATACATTGTATCCAAGTCCTGCCTGTTCTGATGAGAAAGGCATAAGTCCTGTCCCAGATCCGGTCCCAGATCCCTCAGAGCCTATTACTCAGAATTTAAGTCCCTCTCCCTCTCCCTTAGTCTCTGAACCCCAGCATTCAGAACCTAGCCTGGCCATGACTGCTCAAGCTTCAGTCATAGGGGCAGCTGGAAGGGCTGGGGACAAGAGGCTGGAAGACGCCCTGGGGGCCTTAATGGCTGCCCTTGATGACTACCGGGGCCAGTTCCCTGAGCTGCAAGGCCTGGAGCAAGAGGTGACTCGGCTGGAGAGTCTGCTTATGGTGAGGAAGACTGGGCTGGATTGGGCTGGGCTGGACTGGGCTGGGGCAGCACAAAGAAGGGGCCAGGCAGTGGGAATAACTCTGACCTTTATATCCTCAGCAGAGACAAGGCTTGACTCGCAGCCGGGCCTCCAGTCTCAGCATCACTGTGGAGCATGCCCTGGAGAGCTTCAGCTTCCTCAATGAAGATGAAGATGAAGACAATGATGGTCCTGGGGACAGGTAAGAAAGCTAGGCAAGATGGGCCAGACAAGGGGGAAGAAATGAAGGTAGAGGAGGAAGAGATGAGTTGGGAGGAGGGCAAGATGGGAACAGGTGAGGTGGGGCCAGGTGGAACATGTGAAGATAGACTGCTCACCCCTCCCTGTATACCTCATGTGTCCTTGTTGCCCACATCTTCAACTCCATCTGTCCCCAGAGCTTCTGGCTGCCCTACTCATCTCTACAATGTTTGCCTCCCCCACCGATCCCCAGCGACTAGTGAGCCATCTGCCCCTCTTTCACATGGCCTCACCTTGGACCTACCCTGTGAAGGAGTTCTCTCAGTGCCTCCCTGTGCATCCTGCATCCCCCAGCATCGGCCCCCTCTGTCTCGACCTCAACTCCTCCGGAGGCACCAGTCCCTCAGCTGTCAGTCCCAGAGTGAACTTTGCAGATTTCCATTTGAGAGTTGTCCCCGGTCCCTTCTCCCTCTGCTGCTTCCCAGGGCAGAACTCCCTGCCTTGCATTCCTTGCAATCCATGTTTCACAGACATCCCACTTGCAACTCTACTCCTGCCCATCCAACTCCCAGGAGCCCCTGTGGTCCTAGCTGGAAGTGGCACTGGGAAGGCTGACCAAAGACCCCCACTGCTCCCTGCTGATCACATCCCCTTCACTCTCTTGGAGGTCTTTTGTGAAATTACCTATTGTCTGTTGTCTGTGCATTGTCTGTTCTTCCATTATGGGATGGGCAGAATTTAATAAACACTGTGGACCAGGTGGTAAAGAGTGTTCTTGGGGTGGTTGGCTCCATTTTTTCCAGGCCCCCAAGCAGCTTGGAGGCTGGGGCTGAAGACAGCATAGACTCATTCAGTGCCCACCCCCTCAGCACGGGGTGTCCAGCTCTGGATGCTGCCTTGGTCCAGCACCTGTACCACTGCAGTCACCTCCTGCTGGTAAGGCTAGGGATCTTCCCTTCTCTTCCTTTCCCTCCCCTCACCTCTCCCTCATAACCTACTGCCTCTGGAAGCCATGCACTCCAGTCCTGGCCCTCTGTACTTCCTCTAAGTTCCATATCCCCAGTGCCCCAAGTCCCTGACATTTGACTCATGCTGAATGGAATAACTACCACATCTCTTCCCACTGCATGCTACGACTTATAGTCCTTGGACCTCATCTCCCCAACCTCTTCTTGAGATCTATGCTATTTGTCTACCTTTCTTCCAGAAACTGGGCACATTTGGGCCCCTGCGCTGTCAGGAGGCATGGGCCTTGGAGCGGCTACTGCGGGAAGCTCGAGTGTTTGAAGCAGTGTGTGAGCTCAGTAGGGTATGGGAGATCCCTGCCACTTCTGCCCAGGAAGGTAAAGGCCTCCTTGCTGGGCTCTCTGGCTCTGGTGTCTGCCCTAAAGCTCCTAGTTCATCCTACCCTGATTTATATGCCTGACTTCCCCTAACCCACCTGTTGTTTCTAATGGTTTCCTGCTTGCCTTCTTAGTGGTGCAGTTCTCAGTCTCTAGGCCTGGTTTCCTGATCTTCTGGGACCAGTGCACAGAGGGACTCAGCCCCTTCATCTGCCCTGTGGAGCAGGTTCTCCTCACCTTCTGCAGCCAATATGGTGCCCGTCTTTCCATGCGCCAGCCAGGTTTAGCCGAGGCTGGTAAGTGATCTCCCTACTTGCCCCTTCAATCCTTTCTTGGCTCCCTAGTGATACGAACCTCAAGGAAGGCCTAGTATTTACTCGTGGACATGCAAGCTGTGAGCAAAAGTAAGAAAGAGTGAAGGCTTGGGCACAGATAGGTAGGGTGTGAAAAAGGAGTTGCTGGACATGAGTGTGGGATTGAATGCATTCTCTTTCTCCCAAATGAATGGGTTTGACTCATGTGCCACTGCCTCCTGCAGTTTGTGTGAAATTCCTAGAGGATGCGCTAGGGCACAAGCTGCCCAGGAGGCCCCAGCCAGGTCCTGGGGAGCAGCTCACCATATTTCAGTTCTGGAGTTACGTGGAAGCCTTGGACAGCACCTCCATGGAGGCTTATGTGACTGAGACTGCTGAGGAGGGTGAGGTGGTGGCTCTGATTGCAAATGGTCTAATCTTGTGGGTGGGTGTGAGGGTGTGGATAAGGACATAAGGACAAGACCCTCAGAGACTCCTTGCCTTTGTCCAACACCCTGTCCCTTTCAGTATTACTGGTACGGAATCTGAACTCTGATGACCAGGCTATTGTGCTGAAGGCCTTGAGGTTGGCACCTGAGGGACGGCTACAAAGGGATGGACTTCGGGCCCTGAGCTCCCTACTTGTCCATGGCAACAACAAGGTCATGGCTGCTGTCAGCACCCAGCTCCGGAGCCTGTCACTGGGTCCTGCCTTCCGGGAGAGGGTGAGAGTGGGCACAGCTTTCTTGAGGGCAAGGGCTGTGGTCTGGACTCCCAGTGCTTGGCTTAAGTCTGTCCTTTCAACCTTGCCCAGGCCCTCCTGTGCTTCTTGGACCAGCTTGAAGATGAAGATGTGCATACTCGAGTGGCTGGTTGCCTGGCCCTGGGCTGCATCAAGGTGACCCCCGCCAACCCACTAGCCCTTTCTCTGCACGTCCAGCACCCCTACCCTGGGCACTTCCCACCTGCTCCATTAAGCTTACTTCATTATTCTCTTCCCTGATAGGCTCCTGAAGGCATTGAGCCCCTGGTGTACCTGTGTCAAACAGACACAGAAGCAGTGAGGGAAGCTGCTCGGCAGAGCCTGCAGCAGTGTGGTAAGGCTAGAATAAGAGAGACACAGGTTAAGTAGATTCTGGGATATCTGGGCTGATGGGGAGAGGTGAGATGTGATTGGAGTAGAAGAACCAGGGGATGGACTATGGCCACTCCTGATTCCATTTTTATCCATTTCAGGAGAAGAAGGACAGTCTGCCCATCGACGACTGGAGGAATCACTGGATGCCCTGCCCCGCATCTTTGGGCCTGGCAGCATGGCCAGCACAGCATTCTAAACTGTCTACCCACTGTCTCCCAGGGCCCTTCTCCCGACTTTTAGGGTTTACCAGGCATTGGCAGGGAGGGTGAGGGCTGACTCCAGACACCCCTCCCCACAGATTCCTATCAATGAAAATCTAATATATTCAGTTGCTCCTGGGGTTGGTAGAGTCAGCACCTGCAGTCAAGTGCCTCCCAGCCTTGCTCAGTACATCCCTTGACATAACAGTGTCCAGGGCCTGGCCACCCTGCCTCTGCCTCACCATGTCCCCTGGTTTTTTGTATTTTATTTACATAATTTTACAGAAATTAAAAAAAATCCTTTCCTACATGGCCTGTTGCACTTCTGACCCTCTATTCTAAAACTCTCTTATGTGTCCTTCCTGACACTAGTGAGTCCATGCTTTAGCTGTGCCAGGTGCCTGTATATCTGCCCTGGAAATCCTGGTGCTAGAAAGCCCAGAGGCTGGAACTGGGCTTGGAAAGGAAAGCAGGGGGAAAGAATGGGAGGTGTTGCTGAGGAGACAGCCTGAAGCTAATCCTGGGAACTGTGAGCCCCTAGTGGGTCTGTCTGGAGCTTTTCCAGAGAAATGCCAAAGGGTGCTAGTTTTGGGCAAAGAAGAAGCAGGCAGGAAAATCTGGTATGGTATAGCTGAGCTTCTGGCCACGAGGGGGCAGCAGTACCTCACCAGTTAATGCCAGGCTTCTGGGTGTTCCCTTCTGCCCAGGCAGCTTCCTACAAAGATGCAGAAGGAGTTCCAGGAGGGTGAGAAGGGAGCAGAGATCTTTGCCTAGAAGAGGAGCTGGGGCATGGGAGCCCAAAGACCCGGATAACTGCCATGTGACCCCGGAGAGCAAATCCCTTCCCTTCCAGAATTGCTGCTTTCTCTGTAATAACAAACCTGATGAACCCTGTGGCCCCCCATGGCCAGCAGAATATGCTGCTTTGGGAAGCAGAGCTCCCAGGAGAGAGCCCTCCCCGACCACAAGCTGCCTGACACAGGCATATGTTAACCCAGGAGTTTTAAGAGTCCCCAGGGAGGAACTTGTGGGTGGGGTGTGACTTGTTCTAAGGAAAGCCTGAGGGTAGCCCATGCCCACAGCTAAAGAAACTGACCTTATCCTTTCCCTCTTCCTTCAGCACTTCCATTATTCAGGGACAAGGAAGGCAGCGCATGGGCAGCCCTGCTGGTATCCCAGTGTCTATAATGGTAGCAACAGCAGTGTAACAGCATGTGCACAGAGCTGTCACAGAAAATGTATGTGTGCCCATACTCCGGAAGAGCCAACAAGGCGCCAACAGCCATGGGTGGGGGTGGGGAGCTGACCCAGATCCCTGGAGCCCTACCCCCAGCGTTCAGAACTGTGTATAAAGAGGTTTGGCTGGGGCCTTAGCCACCTGCTGGGGAAGCCACTCTGAAAAAAAAAAAAAAAAAAACGGGCAACAGGAAGGAGCACAGGAAACACCTGTGTGTGGATGCAGGTGGCTCACGGGTAGCACTAGGCAGACCAGTGGGGGAGGTAAACAGCACTCACATGGGCACAGCCTCCTCTGTAACTATGGAGGCTAGGACAGCGATGTTCAACTTTTTGGGTGGCCAGCTGGGATATGGGGGTAGATAAAAAGTGACAGAGACCAAGCCATTGCCTAAAATTGGTCACTGCTTTGCCCTCTGAGCCCTTGCAGGAGGACTGCAGATCCAGAACCACCAAATCTCTTAGGCCTGAAACCCCATGAGAGGCCCACAAATAGGGCAGGACTACGGGTGGTAGGTGGTGAAAGAGGAAGCAAACACTGGCTGATCAGGGCCTGGGAAAGTGCAGACGGGGTAACAGCCAGCACACACTCACAGCTCAATCCACAGGACAGGGAAAGCTCTGGACATGATATGGAAGAGAGAAAATTCATCCCAGCCAAGGGCCAACTGTAAATGTCATTGAAAATCTCTATTTTCTAATGGTGGGAAGGAAAAGAATACCTTGTCCTCTACAAGGAGGACCAAAGCTGAATTTTTTAGCTTTAGTGGAGGGTGGGCATGAGAGTCAAGGTGCACAGGAACTAGAATCTATACAGTAAGCACAGTAGGTAAAGAATTATTAGTCTATAGCAACAGGGAATAGATCCTCAGGCCTTTGCCCTTTAAGGCTTTCTGCCTCAGAGCAGCATGAATCAAGTCCAGGACAGCCACTTGACCCCTTTCCATCTGATCTGAAGTCTGGTTATTTTCTGTCCTTTGCCCAGGCCCCAGTCTGTGAGATGGCAGAACCTGCCCTCCTACCTTCAGCTCCACAGGTATCTCCTGTAGGTCTTTACACAGGCAAAGCTGCTCAAAGTTCTTCCCACCATCCCCTCCCTACCTTGCTGTCCTGCAGGCCTGGGAAACACTTGTTTCTCAGACTCAGAAGAACTTGAGAGCCTGATGCCCTGAGCACATACCAAGGCAGGGTGCCCAGTTGTCCTGGAGCCTGTGCCCCCAGTGAGGGGGCAGGTGAAAAATGGCTCCCTAAGGCCTGTGACACACTGACAGGTACCCAACCACTTTAGTCTACAACTGTACCTTGGCCATCATCAGGACCCTGTCCAGAGGAAACTGCTATGCACACTGCAAAAAAAAGGGGGCGGGGGGCAGGGGGCAGGCTGAGTTGGCGTAGGGTAGAATTTATTGTGTTGGTTGTAGGTGAATCCTACCTTCACACCCCTCCTTTCCTCCTGCCCTCTTCCAACCTTATTTTTCCTCTTGTCTCCCACTGTTCTTCCTCATGTATTCAAAGCTGCAGAGAACCAAAAAAAGAAAGAAAAAAGGACA